TGCTGGCTGGAGTCGAGATAAATGCAGACCTGCGCTTGACCCCAGTACAATCTCCACAAGCAAGTGCGCCACCCCGGTTTTCACAGACTTTCCTTCAGCGACACCCAGAACCCTAAGGGTCCAAGTACACAAGTAACAGGGTCTCAGGTCTGGGGCCTGCAGCCCTTTTAACTATTTGGGTCCTTGGACGTAATGTTACCGGCCCCCAAGCCCTTGCCCTAGGGGCTCAAGTACCCAATAATCATTGTCATATATTTCCCAAAACCTGTACCAGAATTACTAGTACCTACGCCCTAGCCAGTTATTGGGTACATAGACGCTTAGGGTGGAATCCAACAGTGAGGCCCCAGCGCAGGACTTCAACCAACTCGTTGGAGACGTCCTCGGAGCCTTGCCTCTCATTTCAACAAAGACGTGTGGTCTTAGCTGCGGATTCTATAGAGATCTCCAAGGATTTCGTACCCTAAGCCCTGAGCCATAAAACCTGGAAGGATTTGTAAGGAATGGCAACGCCTCATTCCTGTTTTGCCCCCGGGATTATATGGGGTCATGTGGGGCTATATATGAGTTGTGTTATAGGGGTACGGACAAGAAAATGGAAGCTACTATCATATAGTATGTTTTCTTTTTACGAAGGTCTATCTCAGTCACGGTAGCCATTTGCAAAAGTAGCGCTTCATTGGGCTGGAGAAATGCGGAACCCTGCAAAATGACCGAAAGCAAAGAAGCCTCTTTGTCATATCCTAAACGGGGCTTAACAGTTCTTCCACTCAACCGCATTTAGAGCCTCAGGATTCCCAGCCAACCCAAACTCTGCAAAATCCACCTGTGCACAACTGTGCGAATCCAAGCTGAATACAGACCGCTTTAGCTGAAAAATTGAAACTCTCAAGCCGACTAACTCCAGACCCTCAAAACCTTTGAATCGTTGAAAATTCAGCTCATGACCCTTCAGAAACCCGAAGCCATCCGAAGCTTCACCGCCACTGAGGCCTAGGCTCTTGTGGAGCTCGGGCCTGCAAGGCGGTGGCAGAATGTCTTTTAGCTGTCCAACAGCTCTGCTTGCTCTCTTGTGAGGACAGAACGGGGACAGGGTGGTCAAAGAGACCAGCAGCTGGTCATTCTTGCTCAATCTGTTCCTTGTGGAGTTGCATTTTAAGATGTACATCTGCTGACAGTAGCATCAATCAAGAGCAGCCCCCCTGGGCAAGATTGCGTAATGGTTGCCCCATTAAAAATCAGACCCACACCCTGTAAGTTCATGTAGAGTCCTCCAAGAACATGCCCTTCAAACCGCAGGGCAAGATTGGCACGAGTCTCGGCACATGACTGAAGATCTGAAGCACGCTATGCACTTGGTCATACGCGGACGCTATCGGCATTGACAAGTGGCAGAGCTTGCTGTATCCAGGAAGCTGCAAAACTGGCTCCCAAATTCGGAGCAGCGCTTACAATTACCCATGAACAGTGAACAGCCACGGCAATGGCCAGCAAGCGACATACAAAGCCAAACTGATGCCCATGATTTCGCACTCACAGTGCCTATGTAAATTCAGACAATCCTGCAACAAGTCCTTTTCTTGAAGGTAAAGTCTTGTTCTTGTACCGTTCGACGATAAACAGAAATTACAAAATCAGAGAAAGCAACGGCCAGAATGCCAAGACAGAATCCAATGAAGTTCTCACGCATCCAGCAGCGTTACATGGATTTCAGCTGAAGATTTGCAACAGGTGAGGGCGCTTCTGCTTGTCAAAGCCAGTCAGCAGCATCTCCATATACAGCACAAAGTACGACCAAATCCTGCACACCAAGTCCCTCCCCTTGTCCTGGATCAGGAAACAGGGGAAAAGTACGGATCATTGTTGGGATCATCGAGGCGCTGTTGAATAAATCCATTCCCTCATTCCAACAAAGCCCCAAGGAGTTCTTGGGAGCGGCCCGAAGACCCAAACCTCAACCTTAAAACCCTACCTGGACCCCAAAAGTATGTAAAACAATGGACTTTATGGCTGTTACTATGGCTTTAGGGCCATTACTTTACATACTTCTGGGGTTTAGGTAATGCCTGCGCACGAAGCCCTCCCCGAACCCCATAACCAATTCCCTTCAAACCTGTTGCAGTATGTTGCAGTGGCCTCATGGCCATTTGGAGCTGGAAGGCTTGCAGTCGGCTCCATGGCAGAATGCTCAAAGCTTCATGTAGGGGCCTATGAAATAATTCGGGTCCAGGATGCACGCCTTGCGCGGTTTAGGGTTTAGTAGGACCTGCTTAGCTATTAGATAGTTAGGGCCATAGGGATTTATAGGGATTGCAGAAGGGTTGCCCAATAGATGGCTTCAGATGACAACGAAAACAACAATGGAAACTACAGTTTAAGGTCAGGTCCAGGGTTTAGGGTTCAAGGTTTTTCAGTTTCACCTCTAGGGACCTATTTGATTAGAATAATGGAGAATAAGATGAAACTGGATTGCACAAGGTCTATTGAAATTGAATGTAGGGCTAAGGTTGGGGCTTAAATAGCGAGCCCAAACCTGTAGCGCAGGACGTTGTGTGCTTGTGCTGGCTGGGCATTTTGGCTTAAGGTGCAAAGCCTCCAACGATACTGCCTAGGCAGCAAGTAGATTATCAGCAAGCTGGTGGAGGGAGGAGGCTTTTTGCCGGACTTCTTCCGCGCTGAAAAGCCGCAGCAGCTCGAAAGCCAGCTTCACCCACACACCCCAGAATAGGTGATGCTGCCAACTCGCTATAATGTTAAGAGATCTATACCTTCTTGTGCGCAATCTTCGCATGGTGTGATATTACTACACGGCTTAGTTTTCAGAGTGCGCTTTTGTACATCTATTGCCTGTTTGATACCATCCCTAGATCCGCAAACAAGTTGAACACTGAAACACTGTACCCCACGCTCCAAAGGAACCTCTAGACTCCGAATGTCTGAAACAAACATTCAGAAGCAAGCCCTAAAACCTTTGTGCAAACGCGGGACACTAATCCAATGGAACCTCACTCAGGCGTCCAGGACCACGTCGAACAAAGAAAACACATAATAAGCTAAGGCCTGTGCTATTCCAAGTGTCTGCGGAGGCAACGCTCAAACCCAACCCTGCTGCACAAAGGGCGCACGGATGATGCGCTCGCAGTTCTTCTGCAGCTTCGTCCAAGTTCTCAAGGTGCCGGAGCCTTGGATCTGGATATCTGTGTTGAATAAGTTTGTGTTTTGTGAAGGGTAATATGCTGGGTGATATCTAGGATGACCCTGATTTTGAAAACCTTGTGTCCATTTTCCGCATCGATCTGTGAGAGGAAGCACGGAAGATGTCCAGTTTCATGGATCAAGGTGTTGAGTGTTGAGGAAGATAGGGTATGCAGAAGTAAGAACAATCATCAGTCGTTCCTCATCTATCACCACTCAAAACAACACGACTGTTGGCAACCCCATATTGGGGTTTTTCAGCGTTGTAAAGCACGCTGCCCTTAAAGCCTAAGCACTCCTAAGCCCTAGTCTAAAGTAGCTGGGACTCTCCAAGACTGACAGGCTGATCTTACCCAAAGCTTCTCATGTGGACCTTGTTGGGGGCTTTGTGCAGGTCTAGAACAAACTTCCGAAAAAGAATGTCTCAGGAGTCTTGAGTCAGGCACTAGCCTTGATAATGGTCTTAAGGACCTGGGTGAACATGTGAGCTCGGGAGGTTATTGAAAACGGAACATTAACAGCGGATTCTGCTTGTAGAAGAGGATGCACACTTGAAATGAAAGGTTTTTGTCAGTATCTACACTAGAATCGACAAAACAAGTAATCGCACCAGATGGAGACAAGGAGTTCAACTATATTTTGTTCGATCCGGCTTTTGTAATACATAAGCCCAGCCCCGCATCGTCCATTGCTCATCTTTATCCAAGGCTCAGCGCACCCAGTTGAATCCCGTCAGCCTAGACTTTGCGTGCAACAGAGGCCGCCGAGGAACCCCGTCTCCTTAAAAAGACATGAATAGTAAAACCATAAGGCGCGCTTCCAGCAACAAGGACTTGTCCAATAAATGGATTCCTTTTACTGCTTCTCTGCTTCTCAAAATCATTCGGACTGTGCTACAGCGCATGTACATGCGCACGCTCAAGAATGATCGCTTCTGTTGGATCATGCTTGATGCGATACTGCCCCTGATCAAAATGAATCTGAGTATGGACCCATTAGATACTAGGATCCACGGGGTTTCCAGCAAGGGCAGGGGTTTGGACACTACTGAGTGATCTCCCTTAGGGATGGGATGTTGCAGGCGCTCAGTCTGCCTGGTTGCCACTCGCGACGTCGTTCGCCTGGCAAGTAGAATGTCGAGAATTGTTGAATCAGCAACAAACATCACTGTCAACAATCAGGTCAACGCCTACCTCTTCGTGAAACCAAGGCTTAGGACTAATTAGCTTATGAGATGACATGGCCCACCAGCTCACTCGCGGAACCGAGGGCATACAAGTTGCAACCCTGGCGACAGCGGGATGTTTGCTTCTGCTTCATCGCTGTGTCTGCGTACCATAAGTTGAACGCCTAGGTTGACAAACTGCCTGCGAGTCAAACTTGTGCCGCCTCGCCAGGCAATCGTGCCTAAACTGAAATGTGTTGCAATACTTAAATCGTGCACCTCAAAGGCTCGAAGGCAACATGTCACAGCCAGTTCTGTGCTTCTGGGGCTGGATAAATACTGAGCAATGTCTACCGGCCGCCCTTGAGGGTGCATCTGTGCATCTTAAATCTTAAATGTTGCTCAACACTTGCTACAGGAATTTGCGGAGAGCAACAGTGCCGTTGCTTGGCTGGGTCTGGGAGGTTGACCTGCAGCCAAACAAGGCGCATTGCTGCTTGCGGCTCCTGAGCACGCGCGCGCGCGCCCTGATCAGAATTTCCGCCCATGAGCCGTGCCAGGAATCTGTTGTAATTAGAAACTTGTCCAGCTCAATACAATGCTTGTGCGACGGCAGGGCTCACACAGGTCCGTCTTTGCATCAGCCAGTCGACTGAGGCGGATCTGCTTTTAGCAGCTCCACACTGACTTCATGCTTAGAAAAGGTTGTGACATCTGGAAACTGTCTGGTCCCGTGTCCTTTCCCGTCAAAGACGTGTTGGCAGTGGTTGTCTGCTCCTCCTGCACGCAAGCGGTATTCGAGGTTCCAGCCAGCAGGAGCATGCAAAAACAGCGCCGACTTGCCATCAGGGCTCTTGCTGTCGCCATACGGAAAGAACTGCAGATGCATGTCGGCGACGCACATCTTTTTGAAGTTTGGACTCCTGATGCTGGCGCCTTTCTGGCCCTTCTCCCCGTCCAAGTCCTTCAAATCGAAAGTCCAAGTGAACGTCCGCAACTTCACGCCCTCCGTTCTCGCCATCTGCCGGTCCTACAATTCTTGCCAGGGTCCCCTGCCCCAAACGTGACAATCGGTACTGTAAATGCGTTGGAGCTTGAAATTATCTGCAGAAGAAGCAGGCCGGACAAGAATGCGAAAAAAACTGCTGCAGAAGCCTGACCGTCAAAATCCATCGCTCCAAGAGGAGAGCCGACAGGAGGTCCGTGAGGCCTACGCCTAAAGGCCTAGGGTTGAAAACTAGTCTCCGCTGTCCTGCAAGTTGTCCGCCATGGTCTTCCTTTTCGCTGGAACTAATGTGTTCACCGCGGCAGCCACCTTCAGCGTGTCGAGCTGATCCTGAGAAAGGGAAGGGCTCGTAGGTGGGGCCTATGCGGAGCACATGACATGGGACGCAAAGCAGCCCCAGGACGGATAGAGCTAATTACAGTTGCCATCGACATAAACATAGCTTTCCAGGCGTACCAAGCTCTTTGTGAGAGGCGAAGGGCAGCTTAGAATGGCTCTACAGGAAACGGCGACTCGGAAAAATGTTGCTTACTGGGCGTTAGTAGGGAATAAGGGAATAGATCAGATGTAGGGACTGCATATATATATATATCTGTATATATATAGGGATTGTGTTCCATTAATCCCTACTAGCCGCCAATAAGAAAATGTTGTCCGGCTTGCCTTCCATCATCTTGAAGGGCCACTCAGTGGAGATCATTACGTTTCCACATGGAAAATGTTGCTTACTGGGGATTAGTAGGGAACAGGGAAATTTATAACCCCTATATAATCCTCATGTAACCCTATGAAATCCCTATAAAATTCCCATAGAATGTGTTCCCTTATTCCCTACTGACCTCCAAGTAAGATGAGTAGAAGTAAAAACAGGCTACTCCCATCCCAGCACCACTTCAGCACGATTTGCGAAGCTTCTACCACAGTACAACTGCCCTTCAAGTGGTCCTTTATAGCTTTGGACATACAGGCCTTGAAATCCTTCAGCACGCGCATGTTCTCCTGCAGGGCTTGCCTATGGCGCGCTATGGTCTCATCTTTTGGGAAGAGCTCGTGGAGGTTGCTCCCTGCAAGCTGTTCACGCCAGGTCTCTTCGAGCTGGTCTCCGAGATGCTCAACCATGTTGAACTTCACCTATGGTGAACTTGGAACCCTAGTAAAAATTATCATTTTTGCTATTCCTCAGGATTATAATGAGCAAAAAAGTGAAAATTATTTCCGAGTACCCCTAAGTTTCCAGTTTCGCCGCATGCTCCACAAATCCCTCTATGAGGAAGCCAGTGTAGACATGTAACGAAGCACAGAGCTCCAACACAGCGAGCTTGTCAGGCTCCTCCTGCGCCTGTTTGACCAACTCCTCGAGCTATCACGGGATATATAGGGTATATTGGGCCTTATAGGGGTTATATAGGGGTTATATAGTTTAATGGGTTATATAGGGGTTATATCGGGGTATATAGGGCTGTATAGGGGTTATATGGGGATAGTGGAGACATAAAATGGAAACTACTATAATGGGCTATGGGTCTCCTCGAACTCGGGTGTGAGCTGTGGGTCTTCGTCCTTGTTTCCGCCTGTTCCCAGGAGTGCCTCAGCAATGTGCTTCAGGCCATCCTTGGCCTCTTCGAACCAAGAGCGACGAAACTGGGACAACTTCACCATGTAATTTCCATTCGTCGTTGAAGTGACTTCCTGCGCCGCAGCCAGGCTCTGGCAAAGGTCCCGGGCTTTGGATGTCATCTCATCGATGCAATCCTCCGCCTTGCTAGCCAAGCGATTCCCCAAAACTGGGTGTACCTTTGCGTGGATGGCTATGACATGCCGCACTACGTAACGCAGGTGTTCTGCCACTTTCGCCACCAGGTCATTCACAGCCTGCTTCAACAGGTCCTCCTCTATGAAGATTCGCCTGATCAAGTTGATGAACACCTGCGGGCCGGTCAAATTTTCGACCGTGAACCCTTGCACGAATGTTTCCTCAGCTCGACAAAGGCTAGCAGAAGCAAGGAGATTGGGGACCAAGTACCAGCTGACAAAAGAATTCATGTTTGAGTTCGACAGCTACCTGGCTCTTCAAACTTGTACGAAGCTCGGACAAGGATACCGAACAACTCCATCAACCCCCTTGGATTTGCTTTTAGACATGCTAGGGCTGAGATGAACCGGGAAAAACTAAGGAAGACAGTTCTTGGTAGAACAAGGCTGCACAGCGACACCTCAGCATGTTTACTTTGTGGATCCTACTGAGCTTGCTACTGAAAGAGGGGAACTTACGTTCTGGGGTTCAGCTGGATCTCCACAGTGTCTGTCACCTCGTCGATCATGTCTGGACCAAGCCAGTCCGGATTGCGATCGGCAAGGTCTCGCCCTTGGATGCTGCAGAGTGGACGCCGCATGACCCATTGCCCTCCGCGACCCCATATTTCAACATTCAGCCATTGTCTCCTAAGCCTGATCCTTCATCCCGTTCCTTTGCGTAAGGGAGAAAGAAGTAGAAGTTTGCAGGGAGGAGGGTGCCAGGCCCTCTCTGGGAGATGTGAGGGGACATGCGAGGCTTGCGCGAGCAGTGTAGCAAAGCATCGTGACGATGCAGACAAAATGTCCTGCTCTGGGAATACAGCTATAACATCGTGACAGGTTTCAAAAACCAAGAAATTTCCGGCATTCGGGCAGCTCTACCCGCCAAAGCTACTTCACAACTCGTCTGAGCAATTTGAACTTGCCCAGTGTCTGAAACTCTGGATCATTGATGCCACTTTTGGCGCAATGGTGAGTTGGCGATCCGCCGTGTCGCTGCTCATAAACTCAGCACGCACGCGCTTGTCTAGGTCGTCCTGGGAGAGTCCGATATGCAGGAGCTCTAGACTCAGGGTTCTTCTAGGGCGAGGGATTGAAGGACATCTTGGGCCATCCCATGTCGTACTGGACTGCCTGCGCGATCAGCGCCTTTCTGTAGTCACTTTGATCGCACTGGTCGAGCTCCCCAAGTATGGACCTAATCTTCCTTTTGCATGCTGACAAGCTCATGCAACCTCTGTCCCTCATCCCTTGCAACAAGTTCTACAACTTCACAAGGGCTTACTTACGTGGGCAGACAAGGGATTGTTTGGTTTGGAGAGCGGTTTTCAGAGGCAGTCACATTTTGTACGTTCAGGAAGTTCCGCTATAAGATGGCTTCAGGATAATCATGTCTCGGAAAGCTTAGAGGGTTCTGAGGTAGGGTGTGCGGTTTACAGCTTGGGCAGGCGACTCCAGAGGATCTAGCACATGATTGCCCAGATTGGTCTGGCAATCTCTCAAATTGTCACCCCATACCCCTAGAACCTGATGTGATTTCTTTCTGAATGCGCTTCCAAACAAAGCTTCACCGATCCCCCCTGCATGATTCCTAGAACACGTGGAACCCACGTTCTTGTTGGTGATCTAATTCAGCAGAACGAAAAACGCGCTACGACAACAAGCGACGATGGTCACATACAGTGATCTTGGAGAATGCCCATGACCTCTCCAGAACTCCTCTACCTTCTAGAAGTGATCATTCAGCCATCTCGACCAGCAGCGGGCATGCATGCATAGACAGCTCCTTTCGGCCCTCGGCTATAGACCCATCTACTCCCTCAATAGCTTTCTGAACCCTAAACCCTGCCCATGCTCGTCCTTGATGCCCCTAAGAGCGCTGTTAAACAGCTTGAACTGGTCGCCCTCCGCCTCCACCTGAGCCATAGACCACACAGAGCCCATATTAGACTTCGGCTCTGTATGACTTTGGGTCCCATGCTTATAGTAATGACGTACTGATGTACTGCTTTCATGAGGTATGTGATACAGGTTGTGCAGCTTGTTTTGCAGAAGGTTTCATGCGGAGCATGTAAGGCTCGAAATGCATTGATTGAGGGATTTGGGTGTGTTAGTAGCGTAGGCCCATATGCGGATGAATGCAAAAAAAACGTACGATTCTGGGAGCACTGCGTGAGGCGTCAGGAGCAGCATGCACGGATACAATAGAGCGGTAGGCATGATGTAATGTGTTGATGGGTGCGCAGGTGAAAATGTGGGGCCCACCATGGCTGATGAGGGCTTGGCAGTCTTGTGCCTGTGCTTTGAAGTGTTGTGTCAGCTGTTACAGGAGTTGCGCACGCCCGGGGACGGATTGTGTAAAGCATGATCAGGATAGGGACTGCTCCGGGACTGCAGGATGTATCTTGGCATGTAAGAGGTTCTATGAACTGCAAATAAACCTGCAACCAAACCCGTGGAATGTCATGTTTTGTCCAGGATGAGAAACACCCCCTGATGTAGCTTTCAGCTGGGAGAGTGGCAGGTTACAGCTGCAGGCATCAGCACCTGCCTCACATGTGCTTTTGATGACCTGAACCTTCATCCAAAACCTGAACTTGACGCTGGCCTTGCAAAAATGATACATTCGCAGACATGAAGGGATGCACCACAAAAAAACCCTATGCACGTGCAAAATATTGATTAGTTTCATGTTTACGCCCCACATCTGCGGACCTATAGAGCCTAATGAGGCAGGTATCTGCGTATGTTACTCAGAACTTGTCTCCTAAACCTTGAACACTCCAATCCTCTACAGCCCTCGGTGGCACTGCTATAAGGACAGTGCTCCCCCCTCCCTGACTTCAGTCAGATTAAGGACCTCACCTGAGCGGGCAAAGAGCGCAACTCGTCCCGCAACTGGATGGTTCTCTGACGGACAGACTCCTTGATCTTCGGGAGGCATTCATCCACCCTTGCCTCCTGGATTTTGGCCACCTGACACCGAGGAGTATAGACACAAAATGAAGATACATTATTCCGCTGATGACTTGCAACTTATCTGCTCTTCTGCAGTGATAGTGTTTCCCCACGGTCCTCTGCGGGGAGAACAGAGTCTGGGGAGCCCGAGGATTTACTTGCGCCCTCTCCTTTTGCTTGTAATCTAGATGTGCTGCCGCAAAATTAGCATATCGGTGTTTTAGAAAAAATTGGCTATCCCAAATAGGTTCCTAACTCTGATAACCCTTCTTTGTAGGGATCCCCCAAAAGAAGTCCCAACAAAAAAAAATGTAGAAGCCTGAAAGCTGATCGGTATAGTGTTTCAGCCTGACTTGTATACTACTGCCGCTTCCCCAACGAACATGTTGAGGGGGTTACCATGCCTTCTCCATGAGACGTAGAGTGCCCCAATTGTCAGGGGGAAGCCGTCTCAGGCGGTCATTGTTCCTGAAGATCGTCTCTTCCTTCGCCCACAAATCCTGCCGGCTCATGCCTTCATCGATGTTCTTCCTGTGCTTTGTATATTAGGGCTATATTAGGGTTATATTAGGGTTATATTAGGGTTATGTTGGGGTAATATTAGGGCTATATTAGGGTTATATTGCTGCGGTCTGAAGTGTGATGCAGAACATGTCATGATGCCTTCAGCTCTTTATACATGTGGTTGCATTTGGCACTACCACAAAGAATGTACTACTTGCCAGCCAGGCTTCTGCGATCGGTTGACCACACAATGAAAACCAAACGCAAGGCGCACGTCCGAGTCTCTGGCCATTGTCACCTGACAGCATAGCAAGGACGCTTTTCCACGGCTGTTAACTCCCCTTTCTCATAATAAAAATAAAAACTATAGCTGTTGAAGTCTGCGATGAAATAGTGATAACTCCTTTTTAGAAAGCATCGGCAGCGTGAGCAAGGCTTGGAAGCTCGGGCTGCCGCTCTATAGCCAAAAAAACATAGGTTGCATTCCGAACAGCTTGAAGCCAAGGCAATTCTAAAGAGGGCACAATAGCAGATACTTGCTGTCACTTGCCAGTCCTTCTCCACGATGTCGGAGGCTTCCGCATGCGCCGCATCATCGCATTTGGTCACAACACCGAGCGTGCGGACGCCGTCTGGGTCGAACTCCCGAGCCAACTTCACCACCTCGCGGGGTGCACGTGGAAGTGTTGCAAAACTTTCTGCCACCTTTTGGGTCCTTGTCTGCTACCTAAATGTATAACTTCCTCAATATACAAGGGCCCCGTTTCCAGAAGTACCCATTTGGCATTCTATGTTCTGTGAAAGAACATGCTTCATGTTGAGCAAACCTTGACCTTGACAGGCCACGAAGTTTACGCCCTGCTTCCTGTCAACGACCTCAGACCATGACTTCCAACCTCATAATCCACAATCCCGTGATTACTCCTCGAGCTTCATGGATCCTACATTCCCCAACCCCAATTCCTCAACGCAGCCCAGAAAGTCTACAACTTTAGAATCTGCACAATCCTGTCCCGAAACTCCACAGTCTAAAATTCCTGAGCAACTGCCGACAGCCATATTAAACTTGCTAGAAATGAGACCCTGCCTCCGCATTCCCAAAGTCAGACATCGCCGGGATCACGCACAGAATAACCTTACTTACTGGTTCTTAATAGGGAATAAATGAATAATTCCTCGAAAATATATTCCCATACTCCCTACTAAGTCCCAGTAAGTTACCGTTTCTTCAGGCTCAATGTACTGCTTCACGAGGCTCACAGTGACCTGCAGGGAAGCAAGGTGGAATTAGGGGGCTTGTAAGCATGGCCCGCGCAATTTGTGATGTGAGCCTCCACAAATCACCGGCCTTATGCAGGATTATTGGGGGACTATGAGCGTTTATTACAGCTTATTGGGGCGTTCGTTGTTTTGGGGGGTGCGCATATTGGAGAGGCCCGTAGCCTTCCTATGGTGGAAGGCGAGGGGGCTGCGTTTCTTATTGGAGGCATGTTGAAAGAGATCGCTCATAACAGCCCTAATACTGGGCAGTCAGATACGTGCATTTCCGGAACCCCACGAAGAAAAAGAAGGTGGGTAGTGCCGGGTGCTTATCACGGCCTCTGGGACCCAAATAGGGAACTGTTTGCGCAAACTAGCAGCCTTGGCAGAGTCCAAGGCCAAGGCTGCTAAACCCGAGCCCAAATTCCCCAAAAGCTAATCGGTTAAGGGTTGAGGGGGAGAAGGTTTGAAGAGGTTTGTGGATTTAGAGTCTAGGTTTGTAATTAGGGTTTAAGGGTAAAGGCTTGTAGCGGTTGTAGCGATTTAGGGGATTGAAGTTTCATGCGTAGTTCGCAATGGAGTGTAGCGCAACATCAAACTACCACCGCCTCCGAACTACGGTGTCTGGAATGGAGTTGTCAAATGCTGACAACATGGGCGTTAACCGTCTAATATGTGTGTGTACATAGAGAGATGATATATATATATACATATGTATATACATATTTATAAATATTCTTGTACCCATACATATATAAATACAACCGACACACAACGTATTCATATACTCAGACACATACCTCAGATCGTTTGCAAAACGCGTGCCTCGTGAATGTTCGACATTTTCTCCGCATTGTGCGTCACACCCAGCCTTGGGCTGTAATGCGTCCCACGTAAGCCTTATAAAAGAAAAGGCCACCACCTTCTTCGTTACGTTCATGATAAGTTTGGCGGGAAAGTGTAGGGCGTACCGGTGTACCGAGAAGTTACACTCGTGCATACCCTGGAATTCTCGATGGAGAGGTGGCAAGTCTAGCGCAAATCCACAAGGCTTCATGAGTAGTTGCAAGTGTGCGGAATGGCGATGGCTCTGATAGATGGATAACGCTTGCCCTAACTCTGTTTAACAGGGTAGGGTATGAAGAAAGGGACCCTGTAGCAATCCTTGCACGCATCGCTGTAGTTACCCAGTCCCTTGTCGCGTGCTAAAAAGAGGCAAGACAAAGATGAAACCTTTTCCTGCATGAGGATCTCTCAAACGCGGAGTACCTTGAAAGACCCCGGTCTGAATAACTTACCAGTAAGTGTTGGAGAAGCTTCCCTAATGGTAGTTTCCCAAATTGGGGGTTCCTTTTTTGATCTATATTGGGGTCCCTCCTATTCAGGGAAACTACCAAATCAGCGCCAGCTGCAAGTCAATGAGGGAGAGCTGGGGTCCATCGTGGCGTACCACTCGCACGTACATGGCCTCCGGGCAGGGGTGTAGGGGTTCAGTTGTTTAGTGACGTGATGCAGTACAGTAAAATGAAGCAACTGCGTCACTGCCTGGCAAGCACAAACTGAATCAAGTAAAGACGAACTTGACAAGGCGCTGCTCCAACTAAGCAAGGTCTCAACATTCGGGGGTGGCAGTGGATTGGGGAAATCCTTTCAATGTCTCCGAACTATATCGCCCTCGTGGAAGTACGCATAAGCAAACGGTAGTCGTAATATGCAGCAACCTTTATCTAACAGTAAGAGGAAAGAATAGCCTTGCTGGAAATGAAGGCATTTCCTGTCGCATGCTTCTCCGTGAGCTGTTTAATGTGCCCCTCCACGTCTGCGACGGCACATTGCTCAGCCTTACTGTTGACGGATAATCCTGGTTCTGTATTACTTGCATCAAATTGTGTTGGACAACGAGCAGGATGGGATCTGTAAGTCATACAGGCGTTGTCCGTGAGTGGTAGTTAGGCCTCGTCGCAAGACTTTTCCCAAGTCAGTTGAGAGTTTAGGGGGTGGGGTTTTGTGCCCTAACCCTAAGCCCTACAGTCAAAACCCTATATAAAACTTTCAACATAATCACATGCTATTAACGGCCGGCTTCCCCTTTCATGCCTGCGGGTGTTCGCGGAAGGCCCCGAATTCCCAAAATCTAGGTTGGAACATACCCTTTAGGGAGTCGCGTAGGCTTATTAGGGGTATTTAGGATTTATAAATAACACATTTATATACATACAAGGCATAGGGTAGAGGCCTGCGTAGCTTAATTGAGGAATGTGTCCTGAATCGTATAAAGTACCCTAGAGTCTGCACTGAAGAGCTTCAATGCATCTTACCTGAAAACACTCAGGGATAGCTGATACCATGTCTGGGTTAGATGGTTAGGCATCATGAAGCGTTCGGGCAAAAGTCTTCAAAACCAGGAAGGCAAGCAACATCTTCGAAGCTCGAATTCATGGACACCAGGGCATACGGCTCGTTGATGGTCGGGTCTGTGAGCATAGTTAGGATGCACGGCATGCGCGTGCATGTGTTCTGGGCGCGGGGAAATTGGATTCCTGATATGTTCTCGAGGAGCGAGGACTTGCCAGCAGACTGTTCGCCGACAACCACGACGCCCGGCAAAGGAATCTGGACTGCCTGGCGCATTTGAACCCTTCTGCTCATACTGCGCCTGAAGAAACGTTCGCCCTGACGTCCCTTGATAAGGCCACATGAGGCCTGAAAACCCCATAGCTAGTACTTGAACCAATTGGCGTTCTTGATCTGATTCTTCACACTTGCGCTTCATCCATGCCATACTGAAGACCTCATGGAAGCCTGTGGAACAGCAGAGGCCCTACAGAACCCACAAAACCCCCGAAGGTTGCCTGACACACGTGGCGCACGCTTTCGAAGAGGCCCAGCTTCTTGGAAACCTCTGCCAAAGCCTCACGAAGAGGCTCTTCTCCAACCTGAGCGTCATGAAATTAGGCTCTGCAGGGGTCATGCGGGATAATGTGGTGTAGATGCCAAGGACTAATGGGATTGATGGCAATTGTAATCCAATGATCACGCAGGCGGCCTAAATGCAAGGAACATTATCCTTCTTGTGCCGGCTCTGTCCGTGTGAAGGTTCTTCGTCCTGAGGCTCGAAGACAGCCTCTCTGCTTTTCACACAAGCAACCTATATTATCCTCATATAACCCCTATATAAGTCTCCGTAACTCATGGTTCTTCATGACCTCAACATCAGCATCAACCAATACCCCGACCGAGGCACCACAGGGCCCTTTAGCATCATCAAATGAGCCACACATACAAATCAAACCAAGCTCAAACGGTCAGGAGAGAGAGAGAGAGAGGGAAACAGCGACAGAGAAAGAGAGACAGAGAGAGAGAGAGAGAGAGAGTGAGTGAGTGAGTGAGTGAGTGAGTGAGTGACGGAGAGAGTGAGCACATCCGGCTGAGCGACGGATTCACCATGGCCATTTGCCATCGACATGAAAGATCGAGCAAGAAGGGAAACTACGGAAGAATTGAGTCCACTTCTGCACGGCTGCGGCTAGCAATCACATTAAACATACGAATCCAGGTCATGCTGGGAAGCCTTTTGACAGGTGCATGGTGCTGATGCGGGTACCAGCTTTGCGCGGGGGCTCTATGCCACACCCCCAACTCAGAATCCGTGTTGGAACATGGCAAGTTCCTCATGCAGCGGAAAACAGGGCTTTGAATCACCAGGTCCTCGCAACCACCTGCCCCACCTCTGCCACATCTATAGGCATCTTGCAGCCACAACCATCACTCGCCTTGCTGCCACTTTAAGCATTGCTGCTAATGGCATAGGTCTTGGCATTCTTGACCTTTCTGCAATCATGATCACTAGGCTACTTCCACAGCTACAACAGTGCTTGGGGAGCCTGCCTGCCAAGCTTTGCAACAAGCCAGGAGCACGAAGACTTCACTCGTTCCTAGCCATCAGCTTCCAAGGAAGATGTACTTGTCCTTGACCTCCCAATCGGACGTTTCTCAATGCAAGGGCAGCCTTACGGCCCGCAGGGATAGATATGGGTATTGTAGGTTGTTATAGTACCCCAAGTAGGCCTTGCACGCGGATCATTTTCAAGAATGCTCGAGGAATAGTTGCTGAAATACCTTTTTCGGCTGGTGTTCTGGGACATCTGCTTGGGGCATCAATGATGTTCGGAATTCCGAGATCTGGCATGTCTGTCATCTTACTGTGCAGGTCATGCAAGATGCTGCCCTTCAATCTTGCATGGTCTTGGGGTACCACCTTCGCAGCTACGCTTCTTGTGAGCCTAGCCACTCCATTAGCCAGGTCCACTGAAAGATTTTCATTTTCTCCTGGAGACTACATGAAACCATTTGCACAGCTGCCTTCACTGCCAACACAAGTTTCTGGACCACACAACCCAGTATGCTTGCAGCATACCTGCGGAAGACGTCCGTAGGCTGAAAAAGTAAAGCGCATCACGCTGCAAACCACAGACCTCCCGAAATAAAAGCATCTGTTCTCAAAAGGCATCCCAAAAAAGACGGCTGTTCTGAAGCAACAGTGACCTAATCCTACATCCTCGATCCCTAGCATAGCCCTTGTGCGTGTACCCCCTATACACGGCCCCACATTAAGGGCGGTAGTTCACAACTCCATCACCAGCACCTGGATCAGATCTTCGTGCTCGTTGCAGCGCCGGCCGCAATGCCAAATGCGAAGCCAGCTGGACGAGGTCTTATAGCTTACTTTTTAGGATTTCACGGGGACCTGCATAGCGCAGTAAGCTTTAAGGTTCGGGGTATCATGTTGTAAAGTTTTTTGATGTCACAGGAGGGGTAGCCCAACAAATGCTAGAGCAACACAAGGAAACCAACTGATGAACAATGGAATCGCAGGGATTGTCTGTGGAAAGGCTTTGGCCTAGGTTCCCTGCAGAAACGGTCAGAAGGCAATGTGCGAATCCATGTATACCAAGGCCTGTTGCAGTGACTCGTAACTTGTGGTTTCTTGTTGATATTCGGCCTCACTGACCACTGATGCGGATGGTGATGAATGTCTTAAGGCTATTTTAATGACCTCCTGTGCACGCCATATACATGCGGGGATTGTAGGGATGTGTGCGCGGCTGTACAATTTGGAGGGGATGTAGGGCTACGGGTGTGGCGCAGGTTGAGGGGTTGACAGCCTGTTCTAGTAGGCTTCGGGTGTGTGGGCAGTGGTGGAAGCATTTCTAGACATCCAAACTGCATGTACTAGCGCCTACAATGACAAACAGCTATCTAGCAAACCAGCCAGAATCGAACATGGCAAGGTGTTGATACTGTCAATCTTGCAATCATGGCATTCACAAGCCAGCTCAAAACTAGCTGCAGAACCTGTCTGTGCGGAACTAGGCTGAAGTAGAGGTACTGGGAGGACCACAAAGTCTTCAAGACCACATACTGAAGGCCATGTCCTTTTAGGGTTTAGGGTGTAGGGTTCTGGGGTATGAATGACAGGGACTGTAGCAGATCCGCAAGTTAGAGTGAACCCGCGACCCCCACCTAATCTGCAAAAGCTTGATGCGCGTTCCCAGTGGTCAACAGTCACGAGTTATTCTCAAGACTGCGACAGTGATTGCAGGACAGAATTTGATCATTTCGGGTACCCTAATGTTGCTAATTCCCCCAAGGCCTTGCGTGTCCATGTTGATGTCCTATATTGCTGAGTGATTCTACATCGTCTCAAGTAGCGTTGGGAAAACTGGCTTCCTGACAGTACTCGGCCCCATGGTAGATTTCCCTCGCGGTAAAAAGTGAAAGTAGTACATTGGCAACGCCTATTACCAGGCGGGTGGGGGGTTATTCTAGTGGAACGTGATTACTCATGACCAGGCCTAGGGGTCCTCGTACCGCAGGACGACCAAAGGCTCTCCAGCAGCAATGGGAGCAATGACCCTGAGAAGCAAGGAGCGTTGTAGGATGTATAGCAGAAACCTGGCCAACACTGGTAGCTATGGTTTTCACGAATCCGCCAGTGAAAGTCTGCAGGCTGGTAAAGCAAGTTGTTCCAGACAATTTCCTAGCCTTCTTCAGTGTTGCTGGGTCTAAGGAGTGAACATATCTTTCCTGTCCTTCGCCAACCCCGAGGCCAATCCACACCCCACGCCTCTAAGATTTCTGGCTTGGCATTTCATAATGCTTTAAACATGAAAGCTGTGGGGGATTTGGGTTCTTTGCATCTCGGGATCAGCTTGTCCCCGCCACTCAAGGTCCACGAACCCAATGATTGACCACCAGTCCCAGGGGAACGACACTCATGCCTGTTTTGGGATTTAGAAGCCATGGTGATTGCCATTTGCACATCCAAAAAGCAACTGAGTTGGAAAGCATGGGTACATCTGCAACCCTACGCTAACCATGCTGGAACATTTAGGCCTACGCAAAAAGCGGTGAGGCCTGGTATAGTCTTAGTAGACGAAGTACCGTAGTAGAGGGTGTGCCAGGAAGGGAAGAGGGCCTGGAAACCATCAGTCGACGCTATTCCCTGTTCTGTAAATAGTAAACTCAACCACCTGAACCATCCCAAACCCATGGCTGGGTTGCTGTTCAGGAACTTAAGCTAAGTTACCATGATATGGGTATACTGTACAAATTCGGGCTTCCTTCTTAGAGTGACCTAATTCAAGCTCCTTGACAGCAACGCAATCAGGTGAAAGTGTATTGGATGCTTCTGCACCCCACCCTCTGCCACATAGCCATAATACCAGGCCGCGAAGAAGGCCTACTCAGCCACTTTCCCTTTAACCCCCAACAATGCCAAAGGTGCTGCACGGTGACCAGTATCCTTCAAAGCTTAAGACCTCAATCTTCCAAAGCATTGCAGTGCTTCCCGCCTGCCCAGCTGCGCTTCCAGCTGTAAGCTTGTTGGGAGCAAGGACAAGTCTTTGCCTGCAAGGGATATCTGGCTTCTGTGTCATTCTACCTATCTTTGTGTGAGTATGTCTGTATGTCCGACAGTATGGATGTGCGACTGTAGATACGTATGAATGTATGTATGCATGCGTGTATGGGGTATGTCTGCTTTCGATGGTGGGACTGTTCCGAGGTACTACAGAGCCAGCTTGAAACCAAGCATATACAACATGGTCTTGGCAGCTATAGTCTAAACTCCTTGAAGGGAATATAAAGGGGACAAGAAAGGGGAGTATTATGGGGGTTCTTGAGGGGATACTAGGAGTTAAGACTATGGTCCAATTTTGGTAACTGATGTATGCGACTCAAGCCCTATGCCCCAATGCTTCATCCCGCCAGCCACGAAAATCCTTCTGCCCCGACCTTCAAACATTACGGATTCAAACCTCACCACAACCCTAACCCCAAAACTCTAAACCCTAAACCCCTAAACCCTAAACCCCTAAACCCTAAACCCCTAAACCCTAAACCCCTAAACCGGCCTTTGATCTCCCGGAAGCGAAGTCGCTCAAAGAAACCCAGCTTGTTCTTCAAGGTCAGGGCGTAGACAGTCCTCCAAAGGCACGGTTTACTATTCAGAGCTGGCGTAAGCGATTTAATGCTACAAGCTGAAAAGGAGAGGTGTCCCGTTTTTCCACTGTATAGCTTGACACGCTGCGCGCATAACATCTGCATCTCTTTACATGCCCCCACCCACCCACCCACCCACCCACCCGCACGCGACGCTCCATGCCCAGAACCTGGAGAAACCAAGGTGCAAACCGAAACAGCCTCCTGTAGGATTGCATTGTTGCTTGTTGGAACGCGAAAAGTATATTTCAACTTCATATACCTTATGAACTGTTTGTGAGCAAGGTCCCAAAATGACTCAGACAGTACTCAGACCAATGCTCCACATAATTCCATACCTTCCATTTTTGCCACTATCCTACATATCCTTACATGATACCTATACAACCCTACATCATCCCTGCATAATCCCTATTCACTAATCCAATATACACCCTATGTAACCCCATACAAGCCTACTTAATCCCCATTAAGTCCCTACGCAATTCCAACATAACCCACAGATAAACCCTGTAAAATCCTCATAGAAGCCCATATAGTTCCTGTATGTACCCCTGCGTATTCCCTACATGGCCCCAATTACTCCCTATATATTCCCATTTAACCCCATAGAAGCCTCGTACAACCCTGAACCCTAAGCCCTAAGCTTAAATCATAAACCCTGAATCCTAAACCCTGAACCCTAACCCCCCTAAAACCCAAACCCATGAAAAATGCAAAGGCTCAGGTCCTGGGACTCGGCTGGGGCTTCCTCGCCAGCAGCGCACGGACGAGGCCAGAACCGACGCCTCCGAGCTCCAGGTCTCGTTTAGAAAGGGTTTAAGGTTTAGGATGTAAGGTTTAGGGCTTAGGGGCTTTTAGGGGGGCAGGGGATTTAGTGCGTTGGGGAGTTTAAGGGGATTTAGGGTTCAAAGTTCGGTGCTTTAGGGGGTTGAGGGTTTGGGGTGCTAGGCGGTT